GACCAGAGTGACCATGAGTGACCAGAGTGACCACTGAGTGACCAGAGTGACCACAGAGTGACCACCCAGTGATCATGGGCTGGCTGGTCTTCTTGTTGGTCTGGGGAGTGACCACAGTGACCATGAGTGACCAGAGTGACCACTGAGTGACCACAGAGCCAAAAATCTCCCTCAGAGTGACCACCCAGTGATCATGGGCTGGCCCGGCTTCTTGTTGGTCTGGGGAGTGACCAGAGTGACCACAGTAACCATGAGTGACCACAGTGACCACTGAGTGACCATGAGTGACCACAGAGTGACCACAGAGCCAAAAACCCCCCTCAGAATGACCCCAGAGTGACCACCCAGTGATCATGGGCTGGCCGGTCTTCTTGTTGGTCTGGGGAGTGACCAGAGTGACCACTGACCACTGAGTGACCATGAGTGACCGCAGTGACCACTGAGTGACCATGAGTGACCAGGGAGTGACCCCTCCTTGCCTGTCCCAGGTGTATTTTGGGTGTTCCCAGTTGTATTTCGGGTGTATTTCAGGTGTATTTTGGGTGTATTTTGGCTGTTCCCAGTCGTCTCCAGGTGTATTTCAGGTGTATTTCGGGTGTCCCTGGGTGTCCCCAGGTGTATTTCAGGTGTATTTCAGGTGTATTTCGGCTGTCCCCAGGTGTATTTCAGCTGTCCCCAGGTGTATTCTGGGTGTATTCCGGGTGTATTTCGGCTGTCCCCGGGTGTATTCTGGGTACATTTCGGCTGTCCCCGTGTGTATTTCAGGTGTCCCCAGGTGTATTTCTGGTTGTCCTCAGGTGTGTTTCGGGTGTATTTTGGCTGTCCCCAGGTGTACTCCGGGTGTCCCCAGCTGTCCCCGGGTGTATTTTGGGTGCATTTCGGGTGTCCTCAGCTGTGTTCCCAGGTGTATTTCGGGTGTATTTCGGTTGTCCTCAGGTGTGTTTCGGGTGTATTTTGGCTGTCCCCAGGTGTATTCCGGGTGTCCCCGGGTGTAGTTTGGGCGTGTTCTGGGTGTATTCCGGGTGCCCCCAGGTGTATTTTGGGTGTGTTCCGGGTATCCCCGGGTGTATTTCAGGTGTATTTTGGCTGTCCTAGGTGTATTTTGGCTGTCCCCGGGTGTATTCCGGGTGTACTTCGTGTGTCCCCAGGTGCATTCCAAATGTATTCCAGGTGTCCCTAGCTGTATTTCGGATGTGTTCCGGGTGTCCCCAGGTGTATTTCGGGTGTGTTCCGGGTATCCCCGGGTGTATTTCAGGTGTATTTTGGCTGTCCTGGGTGTATTTTGGCTGTCCCCAGCTGTCCCCGGGTGTATTCCGTGCGTATTTCTTGTATCCCCGGGTGTGTTCCGGAGGTATTCTGGGTGTCCCCAGGTGTATTTCGGGTGTCCCCGGGTGTACTCCGGGTGTATTCCAGGTGTTCCCGGCTGTCCCCAGGTGTATTTCTGGTGTCCCCGGGTGTGTTCCGGGTGTATTCTGGCTGTCCCCAGGGGTGTTCCGGGTGTATTCCGGGTGTCCCCGGGTGTATTCCGGGTGTCCCCGGGCGTATTCCGGGTGTCCCCAGGTGCATTCCGGGTGTCCCCGGGTGTATTTCGGGTGTATTCCGGGTGTCCCCGGGCGTATTCCGGGTGTCCCCAGGTGCATTCCGGGTGTCCCCGGGTGTATTTCGGGTGTATTCCGGGTGTCCCCGGGCGTATTCCGGGTGTCCCCAGGTGCATTCCGGGTGTCCCCGGGTGTATTTCGGGTGTATTCCGGGTGTCCCCAGGTGCATTCCGGGTGTCCCCGGGTGTATTTCAGGTGTATTCCGGGTGTCCCCGGGTGTATTTTGGCTGTCCCCAGCTGTCCCTGGGTGTATTCCGTGTGTATTTCTTGTGTCCCCGGGTGTACTCCAGGTGTCCCCAGCTGTCCCCAGGTGTATTTTGGGTGTCCCCAGGTGTATTCCGGGTGTACTTTGGGTGTCCCCAGTGTCCCCGGGTGTCCCCAGGTGTATTCCGGCTGTCCCCGGGTGTATTCCGGCTGTCCCCGGGTGTATTCCGGGTGACCCCAGGTGTATTCCGGGTGTATTCCGCCTGTCCCCGGCTGTATTTCGTGTGTCCCCGCGTGTATTCCGGGTGTATTCCGGGTGTCCCCAGGTGTATTCCGGGTGTATTCCGGCTGTCCCCAGGTGTATTTGGTGTGTCCCCGGCTGTATTTCGGGTGTCCCCGGGTGTATTTCGGGTGTATTTCGTGTGTCCCCGGGTGTATTTCGGGTGTATTTAGTGTGTTCCGGGTGTATTCCGGGTGTGTTCCGGGTGTGTTCCGGGTGTCCCCGGGTGTATTTCTTGTGTCCCCGGCTGTCCCCGGGTGTATTCCAGGTGTCCCCAGGTGTATTCCGTGTGTCCCCGGGTGTATTTTGGGTGTCCCCGGGTGTATTCTGGGTGTATTCCGGGTGTCCCCGGGTGTATTTCGGGTGTATTTAGTGTGTTCCGGGTGTATTCCCGGTGTATTCCGGGTGTGTTCCGGGTGTCCCCGGCTGTCCCCAGGTGTATTCTGGGTGTTCCCGGGTGTATTCCCGGTGTATTCCGGGTGTGTTCCGGGTGTCCCCGGCTGTCCCCGTCACCTTGATGATGCCGATCTGTTTGAAGTAGTCGGCCACCGACTCGATGGTGACGTTCTCGCCCAGCCCCTGCACGAAGATCGTGTTGTTGTCCGAGTTGTCCTGCTCCCCTGAGGACCGGCGGGTAATTACCGTTAATTACCGCTAATTACCGCGCATGCCCGACAGTCCATGCTAATTAACCCTCGTTAACCCAACCCCCGGGCTCCAAAATGGCGCCCAAAGCCCCTCCCCCACCTCAACATCATCTTCCTGTCCCACTTGTCCTGCTCGCCCGCAGGTAATTAACTAATTAGCGTTAATTATTGCTAATTACCATTCATTCCCGACAGTCCATGCTAATTAACCCTCGTTAACCCAACCCCGGGCTCCAAAATGGCGCCCAAAGCCCCTCCCCCACCTCAACATCCTCTTCTTGTCCCAGCTGTCCTGCTCCCCTGCAGGTAATTAACTAATTAGCGCTAAGTATCGCTAATTGCCATTCATTCCTGACAGTCCATGCTAATTAACCCTCGTTAACCCAACCCCGGGCTCCAAAATGGCCCCACAGCCCCTCCCCCACCTTAACATCATCTTCTTGTCCCAGCTGTACTGCTCCTCTGCAGGTAATTAACTAATTAGCGCTAATTATCGCTAATTACCATTCATTCCCGACAGTCCATGCTAATTAACCCTCGTTAACCCAACCCCCGGGCTCCAAAATGGCGCCCAAAGCCCCTCCCCCACCTCAACATCCTCTTCTTGTCCCAGTTGTCCTGCTCCTCTGCAGGTAATTAACTAATTAGCGCTAATTACCATTCATTCCTGACAATTAATGCTAATTAAAGCTCATTAACCCAACCCCAAGGCTCAAAAGTGGCCCCAAAGCCCCTCCCCCACGTTAGGATTGTGTTGTTGCTCCCCTGCAGCTAATTAATCATTAATTACTAGTCATTACTCACAATTAACGCTAATTAACCCTGCTCAGCCAGGTAATTAATTAATCGCTGCTAATTAGCATTTCTAGTGAATAATCATTACTCCCAAATTAACTCCACCACTAATTAAGTCAAATCTTTCATCCCAGCATCTCTACTACTAATTAACCCCTAATAAATCCCATTAATTACCCCACTAATTAACCCCACTCTTATAAGCAACTCTTAGCCTCTTAATTGCTGTTAATTACCCCTAACTAATCCTTCATTACCTCATTAATCCAAATCTACTCCTAACGAGCCTAATACTTACCACTAATTAACGCCTTTCATTCAATTAACCCCCCCACTCAAATCCATTATTCTTAATTATACTGTTACTAATTAACCCCTAAAAACCCTGATTACCCTGTTAATTAACCCCATCCTAATTACACTCTAATTAGTGCTTATTCACCACATTAATTCTTCCCAAGCTTTAAAAATCCAATTAATTACCAATTAACCCATATAACTGCATTAATTACCCCAACCCAATCGCACTAATTAATTCCCCCAACCCAATCCCCCTAATTCCCCCAACCCAATCCCACTAATTAACTACCCCCACCCAATACCACTAATTAACTACCCCAACCCAATCCCACTAATTAACTACCCCACTCAATTTCTTCCCCACTACACTCCCACTAATTAACCCCCACTAATCACCTGTTAATTACCCCCAACCCCACCCACCATTTATGCTAATTACCCCCTAATTACCCCTAATTAATTAATTACCTGGGTCATGCCTGGGCCCCTGGTCCCGGGGTCCTTTTGGGGCCGCACATGAAAAAGAAACACAGATTATGCAAATTAGAGGGGCTGGATTTGGGCGTGGCCAACCCAAGCCCCGCCCCCTCCTCCGAGGCCCCGCCCCCTCCTGCCCCTCCCGGGCCCCATTTTGGGGGCAAAAATCCCCAAATTTGGCACCAAAATTTTCGGGTTTTTTTCACCTTTTCAGCCTCGGGAGCTCCCGAAATTCCAATTTTGGAATTTCTCCCCAAAAGGCTCCGAGATTTCCTTTTTTTTTGTTATTTCTCATTTTTCCCATTTTTTCCCATTTTTTTCTCATTTTTTCCCTTCCATTTTTCTCCATTTTTTCCTTAATTTTTTCCTAATTTTTCTCCATTTTTTCCTTATTTTTTTCCTAATTTTTCTCCATTTTTTCCTTATTTTTTCCTAATTTTTCTCCATTTTTCCTTATTTTTTTCCGTAATTTTTCCTCATTTTTTCCCAGATTTTTTCTGCATTTTTCCCAGATTTTTTTCTCCATTTTTTTCCTCTTTTTTCCTTAATTTGCCCCCATTTTTTCTCCATTTTTCCCTTCATTTTTTTCCATTTTTCCTCCTTAATTTCTCTCAATTTTTTTCTATTTTTTCCTTATTTTTTTCTCATTTTTCCCTGATTTTTTTCTCCATTTTTCCTCATTTTTTCCTTAATTTTTCCTAATTTTTCTCCATTTTTCCTTATTTTTTTCCGTAATTTTTCCTCATTTTTCCCAGATTTTTTTCTCCATTTTTCCCAGATTTTTTCTCCATTTTTTCCTCATTTTTCCTTTTTTTTCCTTAATTTGCCCCCATTTTACCCTTCATTTTTTTCCATTTTTCCTCCTTAATTTCTCTCAATTTTTTTCTATTTTTTCCTTATTTTTTTCTCATTTTTTCATTAATTTTTTCCTAATTTTTCTCCATTTTTCCTTATTTTTTTCCGTAGTTTTTCCTCATTTTTTCCCAATTTTTTCTCCATTTTTCCCAGACTTTTTCCTCCATTTTTTCCCTCATTTTTCCTTTTTTTTCCTCAATTTGCCCCCATTTTTTCTCCATTTTTCCCTTCATTTTTTTCTATTTTTCCTCCTTAATTTTTCTCAATTTTTTCCCTTAATTTTTTCTCATTTTTCCCTGATTTTTTCTCAATTTTTCCACATTTTCCCCTGTATTCTTTTCTATTTTTCTCTATTTTTTCCCTATTTTTTCTCCATTTTTTTCTCTTTTTTCCTTAACTTTTTCTCATTTTTCCCTGATTTTTTTCTCAATTTTCCCATTTTTCCCTTTATTCTTTTCTATTTTTCTCTATTTTTACCCTATTTTTTCTCCATTTTTTTCTCTTTTTTCCTTAACTTTTTCTCATTTTTCCCTGATTTTTTTTCTTCATTTTTCCTCATTTTTCCCTGATTTTTTCTCAATTTTTCCACATTTTCCCCTGTATTCTTTTCTATTTTTCTCTATTTTTTCCCTATTTTTTCTCCATTTTTCCTCATTTTTCCCTTTATTTTTCCCTATTTTTCCCTTTATTTTTTCCCTATTTTTTCTCCATTTTTTTCTTTTTTCCTTAACTTTTCCTCATTTTTCCCTGACTTTTTTCTCCATTTTTCCTCATTTTTCCCTTTATTTTTTCCCTATTTTTCCCTTTCTCCATTTTTCCTTATTTTTTTCCGTAATTTTTCCTCATTTTTTCCCAATTTTTTCTCCATTTTTCCCAGACTTTTTCTCCATTTTTTTTCCTCATTTTTCCTTTTTTTTCCTCAATTTGCCCCCATTTTTCTCCATTTTTCCCTTCATTTTTTTCTATTTTTCCTCCTTAATTTTTCTCAATTTTTTCCCTTAATTTTTTCTCATTTTTCCCTGATTTTTTCTCAATTTTTCCACATTTTCCCCTGTATTCTTTTCTATTTTTCTCTATTTTTTCCCTATTTTTTCTCCATTTTTTTCTTTTTTCCTTAACTTTTCCTCATTTTTCCCTGACTTTTTTCTCCATTTTTCCTCATTTTTCCCTTTATTTTTTCCCTATTTTTTCTCCATTTTCCCCTTATTTTTTTCCTTAATTTTTCCTCATTTTTTCCCATTTTCTCCTCATTTTTTCTCCATTTTTCCCTTCATTTCTCTCCACTTTCTCCTCACTTTTTCCTCATTTTTCCCTCCATTTCCCCGAGTTTTCCTGATTTTTTCCTCTATTTCCCTCTTAATTTTTCCACCACTTTCCCCTTCTTTTTCTCCATTTTTTTCCTCAACTTTCCCTTAATTTTTCCTTATTTTTCTCCATTTTCCCCTGAATTTTTCCCTTATTTTTCTCAATTTTTCCCTGATTTTCCCATCATTTTTCCTTTCTTTTTCTCCATTTGTTCCTCCTTTTTTCCCTGATTTTTCTCCATTTTTTCCTGCATTTTCTCCTCATTTTTCTCCACTTTTCCCTGATTTTTCCCCTTATTTTTACCTCATTTTTTCATGATTTTTTCCCTTATTTTACTCCATTTTTCCATGAATTTTCCCCTTCTTTTTCTCCATTTTCCCCTGATTTTTCCACCAATTTCCCTTCTTTTTCTCCATTTTTTTCCCTGATTTTTCCACCATTTTTCCCTTCTTTTTCTCCATTTTCCCCTGATTTTTCCACCAATTTCCCTTCTTTTTCTCAATTTTTCCGTGATTTTTCCACCATTTTTTCCTTATTTTTCTCCATTTTTCCCTCCTTTTTTTCCTTATTTTTCTCCATTTTCCCCTGATTTTTCTCCATTTTTCCCCTGATTTTTCCACCATTTTTCCTTTAATTTTCTCTATTTTTCTTGATTTTTCCCCTGAATTTTCCCCTTCTTTTTCTCCATTTTTCCACCATTTTTCCTCAATTTTTCCCTTATTTTTCTGCATTTTCCCCTACTTTTTTTCCCTTATTTTTCTCCATTTTTCTTTTTCCCTGATTTTCCCACCATTTTTCCTTTCTTTTTCTCCATTTGTTCCTCCTTTTTTCCCTGATTTTTCTCCATTTTTTCCTGCATTTTCTCCTCATTTTTCTCCACTTTTCCCTGATTTTTCCCCTTATTTTTCCCTGATTTTTTCATGATTTTTTCCCTTATTTTACTCCATTTTTCCATGAATTTTCCCCTTCTTTTTCTCCATTTTCCCCTGATTTTTCCACCAATTTCCCTTCTTTTTCTCCATTTTTTTCCCTGATTTTTCCACCATTTTTCCCTTCTTTTTCTCCATTTTCCCTTGAATTTTTCCCTGAATTTTCCTTCTTTTTCTCCATTTTTCCCCTCCTTTTTTTTCCCTTATTTTTCTCCATTTTTTCCTCATTTTTTCTCCATTTTTCCCCTGATTTTTCCACCATTTTTCCTTTAATTTTCTCTATTTTTCTTGATTTTTTCCCCTGAATTTTCCCCTTCTTTTTCTCCATTTTTCCTTTCTTTTTCTCCGTTTTTCAACGATTCTTTCCCTCAACTTTTCCCTTATTTTTCCACCATTTTTCCTTATTTTTCTCCATTTTTCCCTGTTTTCCCTGATTTTTCCATCTTTTTCTCCATTTTTTCCCTGATTTTTCCACCATTTTTTCCTTATTTTTCTCCATTTTTCCCTGTTTTCCCTGATTTTTCCATCTTTTTCTCCATTTTTTCCCTGATTTTTCCACCATTTTTTCCTTATTTTTCTCCATTTTTCCCTGTTTTCCCTGATTTTTCCATCTTTTTCTCCATTTTTTCCCTGATTTTTCCACCATTTTTTCCTTATTTTTCTCCATTTTTCCCTGATTTTTTCCCTGATTTTTCCACCGTTTTTTTCCTCAATTTTTTCCTTATTTTTCTCCATTTTTCCCTCCTTTTTTTCCTTATTTTTCTCCATTTTCCCCTGATTTTTCTCCATTTTTCCCCTGATTTTTCCACCATTTTTCCTTTAATTTTCTCTATTTTTCTTGATTTTTCCCCTGAATTTTCCCCTTCTTTTTCTCCATTTTTCCACCATTTTTCCTCAATTTTTCCCTTATTTTTCTGCATTTTCCCCTACTTTTCATTTTCCCCTGATTTCCATTTTTCTGATTTTTTCCACCATCTTTCCCTTCTTTTTCTCCATTTTTCCACCATTTTTCCTCAATTTTTCCCTTATTTTTCTCCATTTTTCTGATTTTTTCCACCATCTTTCCCTTCTTTTTCTCCATTTTTCCCTGATTTTTTCCCTGATTTTTCCACCGTTTTTTCCTCAATTTTTCCCTTCTTTTTCTCCATTTTTCCCTGATTTTTCCACCGTTTTTTCCTCAATTTTTCCCTTATTTTTCTCCATTTTTCCCTGTTTTTTCCACCATTTTTTCCTTATTTTTCTCCATTTTTTCCTTATTTTTCTCCATTTTTCCCTGATTTTTTCCCTGATTTTTCCACCGTTTTTTCCTCAATTTTTCCCTTATTTTTCTCCATTTTTCCCTGATTCTTCCACCATTTTTTCCTTATTTTTCTCCATTTTTTCCTCATTTTTTCTCCATTTTTCCCTGATTTTTCCACCGTTTTTTCCTCAATTTTTCCCTTATTTTTCTCCATTTTTCCCCTGTTTTTTCCACCATTTCCCCCTTATTTTTCACCATTTTCCCCTGATTTTTTCCCTGATTTTTCCCCTTCTTTTTCTCCATTCCCCCTCATTTTTTTCACCATTTTTTCCACTTTTTCACCACCAAAACTCCATTTTTTCTCATTTCTCCTCCTGGTTTTGGGTCCACTGCAGCTCCGACCTCTCCCCAATTTTGGGGCAATTTTCCACCTTTGTTTTTTTTCTTTTTTTCCACCATTTTTTTTCCACCAAGGTCACCGGCGCTTTCACCAAACCTCCAGAAATTCGGGGTTTTTCCCCCAAAACCACCACAACTTTTCCATTTTCCGCACATGCAGCGTCCGCACCAAAATCCTTTTTTTTTCCCCCAAATCCCACCCTCACCAAAATCACCATTTTCACCTCATTTTTCCACCATTTTTACCCAAAATTCACCTTTTTCAAAGCGTTTTTACCACCTAAAAAATTCCATTTCCGGGGGGATTTTTCCCCCTCCCAGGAAAAATGGGGGAAAAAATTCTTTTTTTTTGGTTTTTTGGGTCGAAACCTGGAATTTTTGGGACTTACCACCGAATTTATTGAAGGCACCACGCTCACCACCGCTGAGGAGATAAATTAGAAGATAATCAGGAATTTTGGAAGCCCCGCCTCCAACCCGGGGATGCGGCAAACTCAACGGCTCGGGAGAAAAAACTGCTTGGGGGCTTTGGGGAGGTTTTGGGCAATTTTGGGCAATTTTGGGCAATTTTTGGGCTTTTTAGGATCAATTTTTGGGCTTTTTAGGGTCAATTTTTGGCAATTTTTGGGCTTTTTAGGGTCAATTTTTGGCAATTTTTGGGGAGTTTTTGGCAATTTTTGGCTTTTTTTGTGGGGTTTTTTTGGCTTTTTTTGGGAATTTTTTTGGGCTTTTTTTGACTTTTTTGGGCAATTTCTGGGCAATTTTTGGGCAATTTTTGGGCTTTTTTGTGAGGTTTTTTTGGCTTTTTTTGGGAATTTTTGGGCAATTTTTGACAATTTTTGGGCTTTTTAGGGACAATTCTTGGGCTTTTTAGGGTCAATTTTTGGACTTTTTAGGGTCAATT